AGTTGGAATTGGGAAGCAACTGGAAAAAGTGGATTCTCATTTACCAAAGGACAGGGAACAGGTTATTGTCTTAGTGCAACAGCTACCAGCCCTGCCTGTGGAGGGGGATGAGCCAGGCACCTGTGTGTGCAGGGCAACCTGATCAGAGAGCCTCTCTCAGCTGGTGGGAGAATACTTTCTGCGCAGCAACATGGCCCAGCAGCACTCGGAGTAGGCTGAATCGTTCTTTGCTCCCCGCCTCACTGGATTTTAGTTTGTCTCCCTGGCACTCCACCACACTCAGGCTTTCCCTGCCTTTACAAAAGACAGGTGTACAGTCTGGATCTGTGGGTGTTTCCTTCTGCCACCCTTTTGCTCTCAACGCTTGTGTTCTCGGTGCCACTTTTTGACACTGTGCCTGCCAAGGGTTGGCTTTCCTTTCCCAAACCCGCTGCTCCTGTCTGCTGCCTCTGGCCCTGTCAGCCCTGCAGCTTTGCTTGCCTGTTCTAGGACGACTGTCCCCTTGAATTCCAACGTGTCCATCACACTGGAGAGCTGGCAGGCTTTCTGGAGGCAGGAATTGTTCTGTGCTTATGGAAGGTTCTAGAGAGTCACACCGCAGCTCAAAATTAGGCTTTTCTCTTGAGTCACACAGGCTGTATGTGTTCACACCTGTGTGTGGTCAGGGGAGACATTTAACCTGGCTGAAGCCCACGTTGGGTTAGGGGAGGCCTCTCCTCATAGAAAAGTAGTAATGGCTTAACATTTTTGGCAAAGGCAGTTTAGTTAAATCATGTTGAGCCCCTACAGGAATGCTTTTATTTGAGATGAACAGTGATTTGCTGTGAGTTTAAATCCAGTCTCAATTTGCACCAATTTATCAAAGGTGCTTGAGGCAAACCTTTGCTTCTATGTTGGAAGCCATTGTGCTATTAAGGAAAGACACAGCTAGGCATAAAAAAATACAGTTTGCAGTGTGGGTTCTTTAGTGAACTGCTGCTAACGAGAAAACATCACTAATATTGGTCTCCTTAAGCTAGGCTGGAGAGAAAGATTTTATTCTCTTCCAGGAGAGCAAACATGGTGCAGGCCGTTGTTTTGCTTCGCAGCTTGGTTTAGCAGCAAGTCCTGGCTGCCCTCTAGTGTCCCCGCAGGGGTGACCGCTACCTCTCCTCGGTGGGCAGCCGGGCTCTGGTAAACACCTCCTAGCACTGGCACCTTCGCGTCTGCCTTGGTCTGCACTGACTGAAACAGCCTTCTGCTTTCAAACCTAGAGATCAGTAAGCAGAGGGCAGGGTGGTTTGTTGGGATTTTTTATTCCCTGTATCCACTCTACCTGTCTGTGTCTCAGCTGGGCCTCATGACACTCCCAGCTTAATGCTTAATACCTTTCTTCCCAGTTTCGCCTTTCCTGTACACATACACCCCCTCCCCAATTCTGGCACGGCTGAGCAGTCCCAGACCAGCTGAAGGGTCATGGCATTCCTTCAGGAGAATCTGAGAGTCCAGTTTCCACTTAAGACCTCAGTATGGTTGCACAATTTAATGAGTGAGCAGAAGGATCAGACTAGCAAGGGCGGGGGGTGGGGTGGGGGAACAGGGGTTGCAAAACAAGGCAGAAGTCTTCATTCCTGTTTGCAGAGGTCAGGATGAGGAGCGGTCTAACACTCCCAAGAACATGGTACACAAGTCACTGGGGAAAGTGGCTGGCTTGCAGAGAAGAGGCTGATGATCAGTGGGAGTCTCTAGTATTGAAAGAAATAGTCTGGAGTTAATGTGAGGGTTAACAATAAGGATATCAATTACCACACTTTAAAATCTATAGACAGAAAGTGTTATATTCAAAGAATTACAGTATTATTTTTTGTGATTTACTGGTTTACTAAGGCTATTAAATGTACTTTTACTGATTTGAAACCCTTCCTTCTGATGCTTGCTTGTTAGAAGGCGATGCTTTTGCTGCTGAGCTTTGAAATGGAGGAGAACTAGCCAGAAAGACACGATGTGTTCAGCATCCGCCCAAAGACAGGGAGGGCAGTCACAGCTCCTCCTCTTCCTCTGGAGGATGCAACCTACTAAACCACAGGTGCGAGCAAAATTCCAAACCTGGTCACCATGCTGATTAAGAAAAAAAAAGGTATCGGAATAATTAAAAAAAGAACAAACTCTCCAAGCAGACCAGAATTTGATTGGATTAAAAAAAGTGTATTGGATGTCCAATACAAAATAATAAACATGAAGTTATTTAAAAAACCATAGAATATACAGCAAATACTACAGAAAAGCAAAAAAATTGTACAGAAAGGTAGACATCTACAGCAGTCCTCAAAATTATTCTACATGAGAATCATAAAACAAGATACAGGTTTTGTTTTTTCCTCAAATGTCTCTGAGGGAAGCTGCCACTTAACAGCTTGACTATGACACTACAAGGATACACGATGTTCCAAATTTAAAATCACAGGATATGTAAGAAAACGTAGCATTAAAATGTGAAAAAAGTGCAATACAGATTGTACACTGAATTCAATAAATGTTTTTTTAGTTTAACCTTAAAAAACCAACTTTGAACAGTTGTTTTATCATTAAAAATATTCCCCCTCCCCAAATTCAATGACAATATTAACATTCATGGTGTTATACATAAGTAATATTCACAAAGAGCCTACCAGCTAAGAATACTGTGTACGATGGTATTTCTTTGGGTATAGGTAAAAAACAGGCAAAGGAAAACACATACCCCTCCTTTCAGGACAGGGTGTGTATTTTATTATTTAAATAGATATTCTGTAGCTTCTTTTGCCCTGAACTGTATTGATTAAAAGTCCAAACATCAATTATCCAGGTGGCCCATGGTGCTCCAATTAATTTGATTCCTCCCCCCTCCCCCCCCCCCCCCAATAAATAAACCCAGCAAAATGGCCTAGAAATGACAACACCGAGAGTCCAGGAAAAGAAAGGAAAACTACAGCCCAAACCTCTGCTGCTCCCCAGCATGAGTCACTGGCTCTCCCTTCTCTTAGTGACAGGGACTGTGAAAATGGGCTCCGAGCTTTATCTGTAGTCACAGGGCTAAAAGAAAACAAATGAAGCAAAGTTCTCTTTCTCTTTTTTTTTTTTTTTTTTTTCAAATTTCAGCAGATGACAGTATTTCCCTTCAATGCTTCAACAGGTCCAGCCATCTAGCAGAAGCACTGCAGTACCCCGGGCCTGAAACGCCTGTCACCTGCGCACCCTCCATCGTTACCACTGAGCTCCCGAGATCACAAATCCGACTCCTCAGGAGGAACAGATTCTCCATCGGAATCATCAGTAAGTTTTGAGTTTCCTTTCGTCTTAAAAGTGAAACTGCACATGAGTTTGTTAGGCAGCTGGGTATATTTTTTTTTTTCTTTAGTGACTAAAATACAGTCCCTCTTTTTATGCCACTCCTCCTCAGAGTATAGCAGAGCCAGGCAACCATACAAGGAGAAAACAAAACACCTTTTCCTTCTCCTCATACAGGAGTTCCCTTTTAACTTTCCTTCCTTTCTAGACAGGTATGTGAACAGCGTCTGAGTCACTAATACTGTTTTTCTTTTCAAATTGTTTCAAAAGTGTAAAAAAATACATTTTTGCCTTGCTTTATGTCTCTGAAGAATCCTCAAGTGAAGGATTCTTTAAATGGCCTGGGATAGAGAAATTGCACTGGGGCTGGACTTGCTGCGGAAGGATCCTGTGGACGTGTAGTGTTCTCAGAGGTATGCTATGGTATGGTGCTGATGAGAAGAGGTCCACAGTTCTCTGCTTCTGGGAGCTCCAGGTAGCTCAGACCTAAGCACCCCTAGCAGAGAAGTGTTGTGCGCTGCTGCCTGTACTAAGTTCTCCATGCTGAACGCGCGCTCAGTCTGCACTTCAAAGTTTCATGACGTGGTCTTTAAACTAACAACAACAAAACAGAGCACTTGCCAAAATAAGCTATAGTGTCATCTAAACACAAGGAACCCTACTTTACAGGAGGAATTGTTTTTTAATGTTTCTATATGAGACTCTCACCGCAATTCAGTAACCAGAGACACAGTATGCTGAAGTTACAAGGAAGGACGTTACAGAAGATGCTTTCATTTTCTTCAGTCTTTCAAGTCAATGTGGAAAGACAGGAAAACAACAATAATGAAACCTCCCACTGGATCCCCTCCCCTTCCCCATCTACTTTTCCCCACTCAAAATATTGAAACTGCACAAAAAGCGACAAACAAGCCTTTCAAATTACATTTCAATTCAAACAGACTGGTAATCTCACAGTGATGAGAGGAGAAAGTCAAGCTTTTAATAATTATAATATAAAAATAATAAAAAAAGCTTACAAATAGCAGTGCAGCATCCCAAAAGGCCATGGATTAACTGCCAGAAGGGGACGTAATTATACGTAGAATAAAAAACAAAAAAGAACAACCCACGCTGGCAATGAATTTTCATACACAATAGAACAAGCAGTCAAATGTCAGTCTAGGCTGTGGAAAACAACAGTTTCTCCTTTTTTTTTTTGATTACAATATTTTTTCCTTTTTATAAAAAAAGATAAAATAAAAACACAAATAAAATTGTACATAAATGCGAATGTCCAACACTGAAAAGGCAGGGCAGTCACACCACTGAGACAAAACCTGACCGGAAAAAAAAACCCCGCGAAGTCCACTATTTTTCCTTTTGTCTGGATGCTAGATTTCAGCCTGATATGTCCCATCCTGCATGGTCTCAGCAGGTAAATGGAATTCAACTTGGCAATGACTTCATTGCAGGACGATGACAAGAACGGTCATCTCTTTTTGACCAGCTGTAGCACAAATGCACTGGTTGCTTCGTTTGCTTTCTGTGTATGCTCTCATGTGCTGTCCCTCTTTCTGTTTTTTCTTTTTGTTTTGTTTTTTGTTGTGGGTTTTTTTTTTTTTCCTTTTCTTCCCTCTGTACAATTCCTTGTGTTCCAAGGCTGAGTCCCAAGACTTGTGAAACTGTCTGGAGTCATGTCCTGGTGAAGATGGTCATGCTGTAGTGATGGCATTAAGGTCTTTCATAAGTCCTTCCAGGTGGGCCATCTCTTTGGTCAGCTCATCTGGTTCATAATTCTGTGGGAGATGCAAAGAGTTATTGGCAAGGTGACCTGCTTTCTTTAAAGAGGGACAGAATAAGAAATAAGAAGAAATGGTCAATGATTCTGGTGTAGATTGTGATCCTGATACATGAATAAGCAGAAGCAGATTTATCAACAGTTACAGGAATTAATAACTTGAAACAACTCTATTTTAAGTGCAGATCTCTTTGCAATAGTGATTCATAGTTTCACTGATTTTTAAGACTGTGATCTTCATATCTGTTTTCCTCGTATCAACTCCTGCTTCAAGATAACAGCTTCCTTTGAACCAAAATAGATATTTTAGAAAAATCTTCCCAGCTTAATTGGAAAAAAAGGTCAAAGGAATCACTTCAGTAAAATTGTTCCGAGAATCATTATGCTTGCTAAAAATCATACTCCATTTTTAGATGCAATTGCCTAGCTTCATCTGTATTGCACTGAGAACAGAATTATGAAAGTTGTTCACGTATGTAGGTAGAAACCATGAACTAGTTCATCTCAAAACCTTTTCTAAGCTGACCAAGCCTTTCCCACTATAGTGTATTTTTCAGCCCCTTATGTTCTTGGAGTGTTTCTCCAAACCCTCTTTACTCTCTCCACATCGTTTTCACACAAGGCGAACCGGGCTGCACGTGGTATTCCAACACCAGCTCTGCTAATGCCAAATCAGAAGCAGCAGAACTCCTGGGTGATAGTTTCTGCTCTGTATATTTAAGGTCCATTATCTGAGCTTCTGGTTAAGATTCTAATATTAAAGCTACTGCTCAGCTAGCTGACCACATACCATAAAACTGGAGTCCTTCCCAGAGCAGAGCCCTCAACCCTGTGATCTCACTTCCTTTGCTTCTAGATACAAACATTTTCTTTCACTTAAATAGAAATGAACACAGCAGGCACTTGCCAGGTTACCAAGCAATCTAGATCATACCAGAAAAGTTGTCTCCTGTGTCTAACGCATTATCTGCCAACTATTGACAATGATAAATAGGAGTGAGCTGGAAGTACTCAGACTCATTCCTACAGGCTCCCATAAACGCAGAATCAATTCAAATCATGATCTAATCCTAATTTTTAAAACTCATAATTTAACTAGTATTTAGTGTGCTGGGGTGACTTTATATTGTACTAATTTACTAATGAAAAAAATTTATTAATGGTCATATTTAAATACTACTAATTTGTTGATAAATAAACTAGTATGTATATTTTTGGTACCAACCGAAAAAAAAGACTGAAGTAGGAGTGACGACAAGACAGAAGGGCAAAAGCACACCAAATCAAGCATGCACACAGTTTCTAGACCATCGCATACAGAAATAAAATCAAGAGGGTGACAAAGGCAATGTGGTAAAAGGAAAGGACAATAAGGAAGCAAAACAAATATTAAAAATAAGCATTTCCTGTAGCAGTAATACAACAGCTAATACCATAACTTCTTGGTTTGCAATTTGAAAGGAAAACAGCTCTTCCAGTGCCTGACACCTCAAACACCCTCACGTCTTAAAAGCTGTTTCCAAAGAAGCCCAACAGTGATTGCATTTTTCCCCACAAGTCAGAACACTTTCATCTGGGTATCTAAAACCGTATTTGGGATGATGGCTTTAAACATTTTGGCATTAATGCTAAATTTTCCATTTGCAATGACACTGTGGATGCTCTGCAGCAGCACAGGAAGCGGCAGCTGCGTGACTTTAAGAGGATCCAGGCACAGTGTGCTTGCAAAACAGACAGAAATAAATGACATCTCAAAGCGAGCATGAACACAACATCTTAAGCTGTACAGAAGAGCAAATGGCACTGTTGGAGGCCTTCAGCATTGTGAATAAACATGCTCTTTACATCAAGATAAGCAGGCAAAAACCAGATGTGCAGGGCACTTCTACAGCGCCAGTACAGAAGCCTGCACATAGAGCCCAAGTCATAAACCAGAGCTCCATGAGGCACTACGTACTGTCAAGAAGGAAAAGACCAGTGCTAGAGATGGTATCTGTCTCTATTCCCCTCCTCTTGTCATTGTGACAGGCTAGCAGAAACCAGAAGCACTGAGCACGAGTCAAGAAAGGAAATCTCGGAGAGCATGACTCTATGTTCAGCTAATAGCCGCAGTTCAGCCAAAACATCGTCGAAGGCTTTACAGTTCGTGGACTGAGTGGGCCTTGTGGACTGGAATAGATGGAAGCACTGCATCTGTTCAGTGTTGTGTAATTAGGAATGAAGGTATGGTCTGAGGTAATTTTCGGATTTAGAAAGCACTACTAGCACTTGCAATTTAAGTGCTTATTCCCTGAATTTACTGCCTTGTGTAGAAGGTGTTTGCACCAGATTTTTTTACATGGATTGACAGGCAATGGCACTCGGTGGAAGTCAGAAGCCTCATTGTCCTCTACCCTTAGAACTAGTCTCAGTGCAGACATTACTGAAGTTTGCAAGTATCCTATAAAGAAATATTTACCACAGCTTGATAAGCACTGCCAAAGAAAGCCACTGGCAGTGTAAGAGTACCTACGCTTTCCGAGTCCTCCAGCATCCTGGTGGTCTCCTGCACATCAGGGGCGCTGGGAACTACCACTGGCATAGGAGGTCGAGTTCTTCCTAAAGTCCCAATTGACGCAGTCTTCACCGAGTGAACTGGATGGTTAGGAGCTTAAAATAAATTGTTATATAGTTATGCCTCAGTTAATTAGTTCTTTTGCCTATTCAAAAAGCTCTTAAAAGTGGGAGAATAAAAAGGATTCTATTAGAGGAAAATGAACACTTCAAATTATGGAGTGCTGAATTTTAATTTTTGTCTAGTTTGCATACATAAAAGGGCCTTGACAATTATACCAACAAAATTCACTCCAGCCTCTGACTATTTCCTTTGATGTCCAATTCTACCCTCCGTCCTTTAAGAAGCTTCTCTCATTTTCTTCTTAAAATCTCCTTTTTCTCTTTTTGGCAAGTGTGTCTTCCCAGTTTTCCCCTGCTCACCTTGCTGAGTCAGTAACGGTGTGCTTGGCAATGCAGGGTCATAGGTGGAACCAGCTGGTGGAACTGCTGGCACCGCAAAACTCTTCAGCGGGTGGGAAGGGCGGACGTGTGCCGTAGGGAGGCTCTGAGCCAAATCCTCCTCTTGTGCATTAGCCAGGTAAGACCCTGTGGTGCTTTCAGGATCCTGGTGGTCAGCACACGTCTGGGACGAGGAAGCCGGCATGGTGTCCGTGCTCGGTGTGTTTCGAACAGATTCTACAACAGACAAAAAAAAAGTGGTTTATTTTCTGTATCAGAAATGTTCTCTGTGGTCAGATGGAAACAAAGCAGTAGTGACTGCAAGCACCTTTTCCAAGACTGCTGTTATAAGCTAAGAAGTGAATTCACAGATTAACTATCTGTGTAGCAAATAACACCAAGTCTGTTTAACTGTGCTGTTTTCCGGTGAATGACAACGGCTGTCTAATGACAAAATAAGCTTGAGAACTGAATGATTCCACAGGCACATGACCAAATCAACAGTTCTGCACTGAAACAGCTACATGTAATAAGACCTCAGATAAACAGCATGGAACACAGATCTTCATTCTCATTTTACCCTGGAGTATTTCAGTTTTGGCATTCTTAAGTAGGTATACATTAAGCATATATCACTGTAGTGCATACAGAAGAGCCAAATTTTTTTCTGAGATGGACTTGAAATCCCTTTACTTGCTGAAAGCTAAAATGAAATCACAGGCTTCGTCTGTTTGTCTGCAGCAGGCTCCACCCTGATCTAAGAGAACAATGAGATGGTATCTCAAATTTAGGGTATCGTGATCCTACTCAGACCACATGCAGGAAAAGATCTGGATTGTGAGAGCTGTCACGTCAGCAGCATAAACCAAACAAGGGAAACCTCTGCCTCTAACGTATCGTCTGCCTGTATATTTGCAGCCTCATGAATTGTTTTCATAAGGAAACAGGAAACAATGCTGTTGGCTGTGGCATCTTAATTAAAATGCAGATCTTCAACTAGAGAAGCTCAGAATTCAATTCATCTCGAGATTAACTAATGTCAGTTCTCAGTAGCAAAGTCTGGACTTTCGTCCTCTCTCAGTATTAAACACAACTGATTAGGAAAAAAGTTATCATATTAAGTAGCTCAAATGAGATTAATCTGACATTTCAGACTCCAGATCTGAAGACTTTCGAAGAAGGAATCCTCCTGTTAGAAGCTGTATATAAAACATCAAGCCTCCTTTTCCATCATCTCATATCTCAAGGATCATCATCTGATCTACAAAAGAAAATGTTCACAGAAAATCCAGCCTATCAAAGATTTTGTCTGTGCTTAAACCCCTCACTCTGCCTCTCGTGGAACACCACAACAGCGAGTGACCAAGTTAGGTCTGAGGCTTTGATTTCCACATGCCTCCGTCATTGTTCCACGACAAGCAAAATCTATCTGATCATTGATATCTCACCTGTGGAATTGGCCCTGTCTGAATGGGACATGGATGTGCCAATCGGCCACGGGTTGACCTGGTGATGGAGATAGCTGCGAGTTGGAGAAGCGAGGCTGCCGGAGTGGAAATGATGGTGAGGGTTATCGAGTGAATGGATGGGATGAGCACTAATCACAGCTGTGAATGAATACAAGACAGAAAAATGCTTAACATACAGACAAGCACGCACGTGTACTGAAATGCACCATATCCCTCCCTTCTCCCACAAAGCCACCGCGCAGGGGGGCCAACTGCTCAGCAATGTCACCAAGATGACATGCTTCAATGCCAATTTCTCAACTCTGCTCCAGCACTTTAGCTCCCTCCATGCCAAGACACAAAAATCCCTAAAAGAGGCAGAGTGCTTAATTTTCCTGTGCAGAAAGTGCATCTCTCTTGGCTGTGTCTTCCAAGAGCTTTCTGTTACGCTTGAGAAAAATGAAGTTCAGCTCCCTTTACAGCTTCCATGTATTTCACACTGTGCTATAAATATCAGATCTAATACAGGAGACATATGAGCTCAAACCCTAAAATAATTTCTGGCTGTCACTGAATTTCTTAACATTGTAACCAAACGTGGCATCTTTGGTTAATTAAATAATGCAAGACAAATAATAAGAGTAGGGCAAGACACCAAAGGCTCTATTCAGTCCCTCTGTGCAGACTTGGTAAAGCTCTGCTCCAACACACTCAACCCAAAAGCCTCCTTTTCTCCCCCTCCGTTTTTTTTTTAATCTTGCTGTTTTATTTTTCCTGTTTGAGAGACATGAATTTTATACTTAATGTAAATCATCCTTTGCCCTCAACCCTTTTGTGGTAACAGCAAAAGAAACTCTCACTACTCCCCAGCTGGGAGAAAAAACGTGCGCAGAATTTAGTGTTTATGATAGGCTAAAATACTGGATTGCTTCAAATCACCCAAAGGAAAGAGTCTCAACACAAAAACAGGAGAGAAATGCTACCACTAGCACCATAAAGGAAAAGATTTGGTTGTGGGGTTTTTTTAACCTTTTTTTGAAATGCTCAAGATGTGCTGCCTTTGAAAGTTACTTTCTAGGAATGACACAATGCACAAATCCATCATTATAATGGTGAGTTCTTGATTGCATGCAGTTTGAACTCGGGCTGACTAAAAAAATCTGAACCCTATGACTTCCTCATTTCCTGGCAAACTGCCTGTCAGCAGGACACGGTATGTGAACTGACCAGCGGAGGCAATATAGAGATTTTCAGCTATTGGTAATAAACAATTTCTCTCTCCCATTGAGTTACACCAACAGAAAGTCAACGCCATTATGAACTTCTTGTAAATAAAGAGTAACTAAACTCTAATACTGAGTAATCGGTACGTTCTAGATTTAAAAGTCCTGTGAGACAGCTGTCAAGGGGATGTGAATAGTCAGGTAGTCTCACTAAGCTTCAAGCAAGATTAAAATGCCACTCTGTCTTGCAGGGAAATGGTAAATGGAGGAAAGCTTGGAGATCAGAAATCCAGCAGAGACAGCAGTCATCAGAGACACCAGGAGTTCTCTTACGTGTCAGCAAGGTAGCAGTCATATAGATTTTAAGGCATAACATTTTGTAGGCATAAACATTTTAGTTACTTCTATTTGTAGAAACCCCTGGTCTACAACTGTATTTCAGCAAGCACTTCAATCACTATCAGATATAATGCATGTTAGCACAGAAGACTGCCAATAGGTTTTTGCAACAACAATAAAATACCTTGCAGATACACTACGCCTTTCAAGACACTTCCTAAAAACTTGGGGATGGGGAGAACACAATATCGTAGCAGCTCTGAAACACCATCCGGAGCAGAATGTGGTGAGCAAGTAGGGAAAACCTGGTCCAGTGAAAAGCCATGTCCCCAGAAAGTCTACCCTGCCACTACGCCATCCAGCTTATACTGCTGGAAATGTTGCTAGGAATTTGCTGGGTGATCAGACCTAAATCACATATAGCTTTACAGGTCAGAAAGCAGTATGTTGTACACCAGCTCTTAATGAAGATCATGGCACACTGTTTAATTTCAAGGAAGAGGAAAGTTCAGATCAAGAACTGGCTAAAGAAAAATGTGGTGTGTTAAGAAAGAAATAGCCCTTGGCTTCCTAATATCCCTTCAGAATTTTTGTTTTCCAGCTGTTGAAGAAGGAACTAACTAGGCACACACCATTCCTGTTGCATTACCGTAAAATTGTACTAAAATTGAACATACTAAATTAGGATAATTTAGTATTTAAAAGGTGAATAATTAGATTTGAATGCTACAGTGGAGGGGGGGAAAAAAGCCTTAGGAAGGTATCTGCAGGCATAGACTTAAACGCACTAAATGGTCCTGCCTTCTGTGCTGCTTGCTGAGAAAGGGCCTCACGTACCAGTGTCAGCTTTCTGTGTAGTTTCTGCAAAAAGGTATCTAAAGACATTACATTAATGTTTCCGCTTACTATAAAACAGAAATGTACAGTTGGAAGCCCTCAGAGCTTTTGCAAACAGGTTAAAAAGTGAAACAAAGTCACAAAAGCAATCTCAAGCCCTAAGGCACCAGCAGACTTTAAATATCCTTCCTGACATTTAGTGCATCATGCTAAGCTGTCACCCCAAGCCAGCTGTGTCTGCGCCTGGTTCGTTCTTTCTGGGCAAGGCAGTATCTAACAAAGTGGGGGAAAACAGATAGGCTTTTAGAGTGAACACAGCAGGACTGGTATCAGAAAGGGATGTCACCGCTGGGTTTAGTGCTGCAAGGAGAAAATCACATCCCCAACTGTATCTGCCAGCATTATCACAGCAGCTTGAATGCCATCAAAAGGCAGAACTGGAATATACAGAATCACAGAATAGTAGGGGGTGGAAGGGACCTCTGTGGGTCATCTAGTCCAACCCCCTGCTGAAGCAGGGTCACCTACAGTAGGCTGCACAGGATCTTGTCCAGGCGGGTCTTGAATATCTCCAGAGAAGGAGACTCCACAACCTCCCTGGGCAGCCTGTTCCAGTGCTCCGTCACCCTCAGAGGGAAGAAGTTC